GATGCAGAAAGAAAGGAGCAATTGTGTACCGTTGGTGGGACTGCAGACTGGTGCAGCCTCAATGGAAGGCATGGTAGAGATTTCTCAAAGAGCTAAAAGTAGGATCAGTGCCTGTAGCTAGGGCTCTGGCCACATATACCAGTGCTGGCGGGTTTGAACTTGGCCCAGGCCTGCTAAACAGCAGTGACAACTACAACAACAATAACAAAAAATAGCTGGGCCTTGTGGTGGGCGCCTGTAGTTCCAGCTATGTGGGAGGCTGAGGCAAGGGAATCACTTAAGCCCAAGAGTTTGAGGTTGCTGTGAGCTGTGATGCCATAGCTCTCTACTGAGGGCAATATAATGAATCTCTGAAAAAGGTGTTCTATCATTAAGACACTTGCCCTTGAATGTTTATAGCAGCACAATTTACAATCACAACAATGTGGAAACAAGCCAGGTGCCCTTAAACTCAGGAGTGGGTTTATAAATTGTGGTATATGTACAGTGTGGAATATTATTCAGCCATAAAGATGGAGATTGGCTCAGCAGCTAGGGCGCCAGCCACATATGCCTGAGCTGGTGGGTTAGAACCCAGCCTGGGCCTGCCAAACAACAATGACAACTACAACCAAAAAATAGCCAGGCCTTGTGGCAGGCACCTATAGTTCCAGCTACTTGGGAGGCTGAGGCAAGAGAATTGTTTAAGCCCAAGAGTTTGAGGTTGCTGTGAGGTGTGATACCACAGCTCACTACTGAGGGCAACAAAGTGAGGCTCTATCTCAAAAAAAAAAAAACCGAAACATTCCTGGATAGAATTGGAGACCATTCTCCTAAGTGAAGTATCACAAGATTGGAAAAACGAATATCATATGTATCCAGTACTCAATTGGAACTAGTAGAATAACACCTACATGCTCACATGAGAGAAAAACTCATTGAAGAATTCAAGGGGAGGTGGGGGAGAGATTAGGCAAATTCTCACCCACCAGGTGCATTGCCTGGGTACACAGCTCACTTCTTGGGTGTGGGATGCACTTATAAATCAGACTTTATCCTTACAAATGCAAACTGTGGAATCTGCTTGTATCCCCACATTAATCTGAAATTTTAAAAAGTAAATAAATAAAAATGTAAATATAATGTGTCAGACTATTTTCAAACAAAAACTTTTTGTTTTTAACTTTCAATATTTTAATGATGGTATATCTAGGAGTGTAATGCTTTGGATTTATTCTGGTAGGGATTTTCTGAGCTCAGCTATACAGATTTAAAATCTTTCACTGAACTTGGGAAGCTTTTAGCAATATTATTTCTCTCGAATAATCTCTTTCTTTTTTTTTTTTGAGACAGAGTCTCAAGCTGTTGCCCTGGGTAGAGCGCTGTGGCGTCACAGCTCACAGCAACCTCCAACTCCTGGGCTTAAGCGATTCTCTTGCCTCAGCCTCCCAAGGAGCTGGGACTATAGGTGTCTGCCACAACGCCCAGCTAGTTTTGGTTGTAATTGTCATTGATGTTTGGCAAGCCTGGGCTGGATTCCAACCTGCCAACTCTTGTGTATGTGGCTGGTGCCCTTGCTGCTGAGCTGCAGGCGCGGAGCCCCCCCAAGTAATTTTTGTCTGCACTGACTCTTTACTTGTATGGAGACTTTGGTTACACAAATATTACACTTTTTGCTGTTGTCCCACATGTCTCTGAGGCTTTGTTCATTTTTTTTCCTATCTTATTTTTCTGTAGTTCAGATTAGATAATATCTATTAATTCAGTTGTTAAGGTTATTGATTTTTCTTTTCTTTCTTGTTTTTTTTTTTTGAGACACATTCTCAAGCTGTCGCCCTGGGTAGTGCCCTGGCATCAGCTCATAGCAACCTCCAACTCTTGGGCTCAAGTGATTCTCTTGCCTCTGCCTCCCAAGTAGCTGGGATTCTAGGCACCCACCAAAACGCCTGGCTATTTTTGGTTGTAGTTGTAGTTGTCATTGTTGTTTGGCAGGCCCGGGCTGGATTCACACCTGCCAACTCTGGTGTATGTGGCTGGCACCTTAGCCAATTGAGCTATAGGTGCTGAGCCAGTTATTGATTTTCTTATATCTCAATTTTGCTATTGATCCCATCCAGTAACTTTAAAATTTTGAT